GGTAGCCCCAGATTTTGTCAGCCCTGCAGCCGTTCTTTCCACTGAGCCTTGCTCAGAGCGCCCCCTGCCACAGCTGGGGGCACTACAGCCAAAGAGAAGCTATGAAACATGCTGGGAACAGAGGTGGAGCCGGTTCTGTTCCCACACAGCCAAGACAAGAAGAAAATCTCCAGCCAGGTGGTTCTGCTCTAGGCTGCTCAGTCCCACCTGGAACTCTGAGTCACATTCTGGGAGGGGTCCCAGCACAAGGAGCCCCCTAGAAACCATGTCCTGGGAGAAACTATTGAAAGAACTGGGAGTGTTCAGCTTCGAGAGGAAAGGATGGTGGGGGGTGGGAGGGAGGGGAGAGAAGTGTTCAAATCTCTGAAGGCCTGTCCTGGGAGGAGGATGCAAAGCAGACCTGTGGACACCAGAGGGCTGGACCAGGCCCACAGACAGGTGATTCAGAACAGCAGATTTTAATTCAGTACGAACACTGGTCAACTGATGACTGAAGACAGAATGGGAGGCCTTAAAGGATAGTGAGAGCTACCTCTGAGGAAGAGGCTGGATGGATAGTTTGCAGGGGTGCTGATAAACGGCACGTGTTGGGAGCTCCCACCCCAGTGTGGGCACCTGTCCTTGGTTCTAGGAGCATCTCTGTGCTCCAGGGCATCATTGTTTTCCTAACCTTGGAGTGCTGTTGACTACTCCTGTCCAACTTCTCTCAAGAGATAGCGCTGGTAGTTTTGTTTTTTATTTTTGCACTGAGGGAAAACTCATGGCATAGAACTGTGATTTATGTTTTACCACATATGTAGATGACTCATGTCTATTTTACAGTTCTGGTATATTTTTAACAGCTATAAAATTTTTCTTTGGGAATTCAGAAAGGCATGTTGTCCCCAGGTGGTGACAAGTGAGCATCCTCATCCCAGGGATCCATAAAGGGCTGACCCCTCCTTCATCCATTGTTTCTCAGAAGGGACAGTCCTGAAACCATTCTGGGAAGACCAAACAGCCTGAGTTAACCCTGGCTGCAAATGGGGAGGCAGAAATTCCCTCTCTGTCAGGTCACATACTATGCCAACAGAGGAGGGTCAGGTATCAGGGAGAAGGAAGGTTCAACAGATGATGGCCAGTACTTTCCAATCTTGAGTCTATGAGGTCCCAGCAGAGAGGATACAGCCCGCTGATGCCTAGGCCTGGACTCTGTGTCCTGCATCCATGCAGGGGGCACAGGAAGTACCAAGAACCCTTGACCTACTGCCACCCTAGGCACAGAACAAAGCCCTCCTCATTTAGAACATCTGCCTGCCTAACATCTCTACAACCTGAAGGATACTCACTGGGGAAAGACACCACTTTTGCCTGCCTGGAGACCCTGATAGCCCCTAGCCAGGAGGAGTTTAGAGAGAATGAATGTAGGGTATGCATGAGGTGCCATCCCCTAACCAGCCACTGCTAGACCTTACTCAGGTTTCTGAGCAGAGATAAGACTTCAGGGAAGACCCCCGATCCCAGAGCTTAGAAGTCAGAGCCAGGCCGATGTCACATGCCTCACCAGGACCTGACAGAGAGGTAATTTCTGCCTCCCCCTTTGCAGCCAGGGTTAACTCAGGCTGTTTGGTCTTCCCAGAACGGTTTCAGGACTGTCCCTTCTGAGAAACAATGGATGAAGGAGGGGTCAGCCCTTTATGGATCCCTGGGATGAGGATGGCCCCTTGTCACAACCTAGGGACAACATGAGCTACCCAGGGCTCCCATCTGCACAGGAGAGTCTGGTCCATACCCCCACCCCAGAGGAAGGGTTTTCTTAAGACCTAGAGGGTGGTTGTGGATGGACAGGAGGTCCCAGGAGGGAAGAAGCATGGGAAGGTGAGGACAGGTAGTAACCTCAGGAGACGCTGCGAGGCTTTTCTGAGTGAACACTTCCAAGCCTACGGCTGTTCCAGGCTCAGGTACCAATTCCTGCTGAGAGGTGTCCTGGGTCCTCTGGGACTGCAGGGGAGGCCCAGGGCCAGTTGAAAGGGAAAGAGGGAGGAAGGGAAGGAGAGAGAGACAGAGACAGAGGTAGGAAGAGAGGGAGGGAGAGAAAGCAAGAGAGATATACACACAAAGAGTCTGTAAATAGCTCAGCTTGGTAAATCCCACATCCTTAAGGTTTGTGGATTAGGTCAGGAAGGAGCTATGCCTTGGGGTGAAATGAAGAGAGGCTGCCCCTCCGAGCCACTGAGGAAAGGAGGCCCGCGTTTAGCCACCAGCCAGTGCTGTGGCTTTGGGCCACCTCATCGCCTTGCCTACTCTTATTCAAGAGCTTTTGGAACCATATGATTTAGACTCTGATTCCAGGTCTTCTCTGGGTGACTCTGGTTTAGGCTATGGTTCAATCCTGTAGTTTGGGTCGGTCACAGCCCTTTTAAAAAGTTATCTTTGAAACTAAAACCTGGTTTAGCAAATGGGAACAGTTCTTTATAGTTCGGAGTCTTTATTTTGGTTTAAGTTCCCACTGTGTTCCCCTTGGCCCAGATGAGGACAAACCATATGTGAGGAAGCTACTAGGAACTGTGGCTGCCACACCCCTGCAGGATATCCTCCACAAAGCCCATATTTGGATCAGGGATTCTAGTCACCATCAGCAATGACCCCATGACTGTCCAGCACTTTCCAGTTTATGAAGTACTTTTATATCCATTATTTCAATAGAGTAGCAATCTTGATTCCCCTTTAGATGGACTAGGCAGTGAGGCTCAGAGGGGTGGTCACTCACCCAAGGACCTAGACCAGTCCTTGTCCACAGCTCCTCCCATCTCCCAAATCTTCAAGGGCCCCTAAATGTCAGTGGGTCCTGCAAGCCAGCTCTAAGTGGTCCATCACTCCAATATGAGTTCCTGGAACATACTTCTTTCCGTCAGTGGACTACACTTCTTGGATCCAGAGGGGGAGAGGACAGGCTCTATCCCTTTATAAGACCCATCTTCTAGCAGTTCCAGTATCACCAGCAGGAGGGGCACACCCCAAGCCAGGCAGCTTTTTACCAGAGAGGCACTCCAAGGTTCCAGACTAGTTCACTTGTCATCCTTCCCTTCTCTTCTCTTCTGGAGTCCAACTTTCTCTGCATCCCACCTCACGCATGGCCAGGCCAAGGCCCAGCCCACTTCAGGAATGGCTAGAGGCTGCTCTGGCCAAGCCTGTCTCTAGGCAAGAGGTAGCTGGGGTGTTAGCAACATCACTAAGACCTCACCACATCAGCCCCATGGCCCCAGTCCAGGGTCTTGGTTGTGTGAAAGGTGACTACAGAAGCCCTTAGTGGATGCAGAGGTTTGTCCTCCTTCCATGGCACCAGTCATAAAGGCTACCTATGGTCCCCAAAGCATCCTCAATTTTGTTAATCACCAGCCAGGAAGCTACCAGAATAGCTCTCTCTGAGTTTATGCCTCTGTTGTCTGGCATGATCAGGCTGGGAAGTGCTGATTCAATCAAATGCTCTGCTTATTAGATCATGGATGCATCACCAATTTTCAAAGTATCAGAGGGCAACACACACCAATTGACTCTACAACTGGTCTTCACATAATTTGGTCTTACTCCCAGGCAGCTGTGACCTAATGTCTTACTAGTAAATACAATTCCTGGGAAACAAGAAAATCAGGTTCTGGCCCCTCTTCTAGAAGTCCCATCCCCCCTTCTGGGACTCAGTGGCCCCACCTGTAAAATGAGAACCTTGAACCAAGCAGGTTCCAAGGGTCCTTCCAATATTAAAAAGGATTCTGGTTTGAAGGTAACCTTTTTTGTGAAAGAGTCCCAGGACTCTCAAAATGAAATAAAAGTGACTCATATTAAGCATCTACCACATGCCAGGAACTCTGCTGGTCCCTCTGCATGCTGTATCTCATCTGACTGTCACAACATCCTCATGAAGTAGGTGCTTTTATTATCTCTACTTGATGGAAGCTCAGAGAGGCTAAGTAACAAGCCCAGAGTCCTTAGCTAGCAGGCAGAGGAACTGGAATTCAAACCCAGGCAGGGCAAGTCTAGACCTCAACTAGGGTCTGAGAACATAAGCAGAAATTCTGGAGGAAAAAAAAACACCTAAGAAGAAACTGGGGTAAATATTGACAAGATTTAGCAAGCACTAAGAATAATAACTTGAGATTATAAATACAGGAATTTTCAAAATCCTATCTTCATCTTTTTCCGATTGAGAAAAAAAAATCCCATGCTTTCCACTCTGAAAGGCAGGTTGTGTGGGATCCTTTTCTGAAGCATCAGGGAACAGATCTGATATTTGTGGAGGATTTGTTCTCCTCTAGTGGGCTCTGAGGATCCTTCCAGGAGGGTAAAAAACCCCTTGCCACCGAGTCAATTCCAACTCCTAGTGACCCTAGAGGACAGAGTAGAACTGCCCCATAGGGTTTCCAAGGCTGTAATCTTTATGGAAGCAGAGTGCCACATCTTTCTCCCGTGGAGCGGCTGGTGGGATTGAACCACTGACCTTTCAGTTAGCAGCCAAGCTTAACCACTGTGCCACCAGGGCTCCTTTCCAGGAGGGTATCCTCCCACAATTGCATGAAAGGGTCTGGTTACTGAATAGAACTACCGGGGTTCTCAAAGTTTAGTGTGCATGAGGATTGCCTGGGGCGCTTGTTTAAAATGTGATTCCAGGGCTCTACCTCTAAATATTCTGATTCAGTAGATCGGATGTGGGGCCCAGGAACCTGCATTTCCAACAAGCACCACCCCCCCCTTCCCCATGATACTATGGCTGATGGAAGGGGAGTATACCAAGCTACTGCAAATCTTTTTAGTTTTTCATGCTTCCAGGTGGTCCCTGGGGCCCAGGATTCAAAGATTTAGGGAATTTGTCTTCTTCAGCCTAAACTGTTACCCTATCCCTACCATCCCAATGTGGGATATGCACATACAGGTGTGCAGAATGAGTGTAAGTCAGTACATAGCAACAACTTTCCCAATACCACTTTCCCCACAGCCCCTACTGAGGGGTTCAGGGTGAGACCTACCTCGTTGGCTTTCTCAGGGGTGCCCTTGGGGGAAGGGGAGGCGGGTGAGGAGGGCAGCCTGCGCTCCCGCTCCCAGTCTCGATCCCGGTGGATTAGTTTGCTGTTGGGTTCCTTCAGTGTCCTTTTAAGCTCATTGATGCTGGCCTGGTGCTTCAGCAAGACATCCTCTGGCTTGTCTAAGAACTGGGAAAGGATGGAGAGGGCAGCCAGTGTTAGAGGAACAGCTCTGCTCAGGGGATGCAGGTGGCAGTGACGGCGGTGACAGTTGCCATCACCGCCCCCACATCAGCAATGTGATTCCCATCCATGACCCTGCCGGACCCTGACAACAGCTCCACGAGCCAGGCAGGGCAAGGCCAATTAGCCCCAACAGGTGCATATACCGAGGCACACAGAACTTAAGATTAAAAAGAGACTTCTAGTCAAACAGCCAACTTCTCTTCTCCCCTGCCTGACTCCTTGGCCTCTGAACACCCAACTCAACCCACATCCCGCAGGTTGGTGCTGTGATCACAGTCTTAGTCAGGCATAGAGTTCACCTCCATGCCTCTGACTTCCCTCTGTTACAACCAAGGCACAGCAGCAGGCAGCATCTGCTGGAGTGAGGACTCACCAACCCTGCTCCTGGGCTGCTCTGGCTCACTCTCTGGCCTCCTGGATCCTGGTCCCTACCTTCTGGCCTAGACTTGGACTGCTGTGCTTAGCAGAATTCTCTGTCTAGTCTTCTCCTAGCACACGCATGCCCTCAGGACAATGCCTGTCTGGGAAGTTCAACCTGATGGAATTTGCTTGGGTGGAGAGGGCGTTGAGCTACAATGGATATGGAGTCTCAACCCAAGATGTAGCTTGCAATATCTACCCTGAGCCTGCTGGGCTAGCTCTGTGAACAGTGCTCCTGAAGGCTAGAGGGAGCAGTGGGATCCTTGAAGGTTATGAGCCTTGGGGAAACCTAGTCCGAATGCCTGGCTGTGCAGATGGGGGCCTGGGACCGGAGGGGACATGTCCAAACCCCTCAATGGGTCTCTGGCAGAACAAGGATTGAAACTCAGATCATGTGACTCCCAGACCAGGCCCCTCTTGTGCCCTAGCCTCTGGCCCTTTCCTTCTGTAGCCCAAGAAAACCCAATTCTCTTGCAGTTTGGTACAAATGAAGAGGTGGAAGCTGTGAGAAAGGCAAGGAGAAGTGGTTAACACAGGAGGAAGAAGTTGAGGGAAGCAACAAATGGAAAGAGGAAGAGGAAAAGATTTTCCTTGACAGAGCCAGAGCTGGAGCAGCGGCAGGCCCCGCCTGGAAGAGGTAGAACTGAAGTCTGACCGATGGGCTCAGAGGGCACCCCCCTCCCCACGTCAACCCCACTCCCACAAAAAGAACTTGGGGTGAGGACACAGGGGATGCAGATGAGATGGAGGGCATAATCAAACAGTACTATGGGGGAGGAGGTGAGTCTAAGGAACCGTTTGGGGTAGGGGTATGGGGGAAATGAGTTAAATGCAAGCATGCAATGGCCTGGAAGAGCTGGTGAACATAGGTGGGATGCTCACCAAGTGAGAAGCAAGCACAGAGTACCAAGTGGTCTGGATAGACAGAGTGTGAAGCTGGGTAGAGGATGGTAGGGGTGAGGAGGCAGGGAGAGCTGGCTGGTTGGGTGGTAGAGTCAGAGCAGGGAACAGAAGAGATGAGCTTGTCAAGGGAGGTGGGAGCGGGATAGTGCGGGAAGTGGAGACGAAGCTGACAAGAGGGCGTGTGATAATGCAGGGGAGATGAACGTGGGATGGTGACAAATGAGTGAGGGATTTGGATGGCTGGGTAGGTAGGGACAGGTCCCATGCAGTACCTCCTGCTTGTGTCTCGGCGTGGTTTCCTGCTCCGGCTAGCGGGATGTGGTAGGAGGGAAAGGAACCAGCAGGGTCAGTAGAGCAAACAGATTAGAGATAACGCGAATGGCCTGGTCCAGCAAGGGAGCCCAGAGCACTCACACCCAAGCAGCAGAGGCCAGAGAAGCTGGCTGGGCCACCGGCAGGGCAGTGAGGTAGTCAGAAGCTGGTACAGGGGGTGAAGCAGGAAGATGGGCCCAGGAAGGCAAAGTAGGGGGCTGAGGGACTGGAGGTAACATGGGCAGAGATGGGACACAAGTATCTCCAGGTATTCATGTTTCTTGCTGTCAGCATGAGTGTGTGTTCATGAGCCTGTGCTCACAAGGTATGACTACACGATGGAAAAAAAATTGCTTAACCCCTTCACTGAGAAGAAGCCATGCCTGGCCTGTGTGTACATATGCTTGTACACATGTAAATGTTGTTTGCATGTCTGTATGCACAAACCTAAGGGTGAGAGAGTATATACTATACATCTGTGAGTGAATGAATGTGAATTTGAGGTTGCTAATGCCTGCCTGATCGTGTACACATGTATATTGGGAGTGGGGGTGTGTATGCATGTATATGGGGAGTGGGGGTCGGGCAGCAGGATGGGAACATACTTGTTCCTCACACTTGTAAGGGCCTGCAGTGACACCTGACTAGATCATGCTCTGGCGAAGAGTCCAGATCCAGATCATAGACAAACGGGCAAACTAAGAGCGAGCAAGAGGAGGCCCAAGTCCTTCAGGGGACAGAGTCCCGCTCTGAAAGCAGAGCAAAGAGGATGCAAGAGGGCCGGGTGTGCAGCATGCCCACCACCCTCACCCCACCCCAAGGATGTCCAGATATTGAGCATGACCCAAGGGCAGGCTCTGTCCATGGTGCACCCCATAGCTCTGCCATAGCTGGGGCACCTGAAGGCCCAGGCTGGGGTTAGATCTAGGATCAGCCTACTGACCCCCAAGTCAGAGGGTAAGAGAAAGCTAGGCCTTACCTTTAGCTCCTTGATCTTGGTGGGAGTCCTGACCTCTCCATCGTCGGCTTCTGACTGCCGCCCACCAGACTCGCCATATTCCTCCCTCTTGTCACCGTCAGGTCCTGCATCATGGTTCTCACTGACAGAGGCTGGGCGGGAGAATTCTGCTAAAGTGGGCAGAGGTGGCCAGGGGACCATGTGAGACCTCTCCCAGGGGCACTAGCAACTCGCCCCAACCATGCCTGGGATGGAGCAGACTCTTCAACACCCTAACCCATTGCCGGATAAGGAGTCTGTAGCCAGAGGAGTAAAGTCACCTTCCCAGGTCACACAGCCAGTGAGTGGCAAGGCTGCCTCCCAGCTCAGAGTCCCTTCCAGATTTCTAAAGCACTAGAGCCTGGGTTCAAATCTCAAATCCATCTCTTCTTGGCTTTGTGACCTTGGGTGAGTTATACCATCTCTCTGGGCCTGTTTCCTCATCTATAAATAGTACCTACTTCAGAAAGCCGAGGAGAGGGACCAATAAGCCAATGTGTGTGAATATTCAGAGGAGTGGTTGGCACAGACTGAGCCTTCAATCAGTGTTGGCCCACAGATGTTGCTGTTTTTGTTGCTGTGGTTGTGGCAGTATATGACCTGGCCATTACTTAGCAATACATAGGTATTGTGAGATGGGCTTTTGCTAATGAAAGCTAAAGTCCTGAGGTTTGCAAATGATTTATCTTCTTTATAAACTAGAGAAAATGCAAGGGGATCCTTGCAATAATATCTTTCTCACTAACTGGCATCCCAAAGTACTTTTCTGAATGAGAAAGAAAGGGGTGGAATTACACATCAGACACCAGAGCACAGGGCATAACCTGGACTATGCCCATAGAGTACGTCTCGGTGGAAAAAATGGCTGGAAAACACTGAACTAAAATGATCAGAGCACAGATTATCCTTGGGGTTGGCCCAGATTTTAAAAAGAGAATAATTATCCTTTCTATTCATATACATTTACTTTTCAAAGTAGCCATTGATCACATTATTTGATTCACACAATACTACTCTGTGTTGGTGGGTAAAATGGGAATTCCCATCTTATAGAGGATAAATTGAGTCCTCGAGAGGAGAAAAGTTCCACATGTAGTTATTAGTGAGTTAGAAGTGGGACCCAGGTCTCCTGGCTTAGAGTTCAGGCCTCTGCATCTCCCCCTGATGAGTTGGCTTTGGGCCAACCTCTGCTGTGTTGCTTCATTTATTCCCCAGCATAGTAATGGAAGCTGCAGGGGAGGGACAGAGGGATGGTGAAGGCTCTCCTTTCCCCTCACATAAACCTTAGTTCTCAGTCCTATGTCCACCCAAGGAGAATAAGGAGTTCCACAGCCCTAAATGGACCCTTGCAAAACTGCACATCCTTGAGATACCCATGGTCTCCACAGTCAGGGAATCCTGGGACAAAGCTCTTCTGATCACCTGGAAAACTCCTAGGCATCCTTGAAAACCCTACCCAGTCATCACGCCCTGTGCAAAGCCCTTTCTGTCCCTCCTAAACAGAATTAATTCCTCCCTACTCAGGGCTACTCTGTATTCCATATGTGCTTCTCCTGTTGCATGAACCACAATAAATATTTACAAATCTACTATTCTATAAGTTCCTCAAAAGAAAGGGCCGTAAGTATTCACTCTAAATACCCAGCACCTAGCACAGGGTCTGGCACATGTTTGTTCAGTTGACCTAACTTGCCCAGAGGCCTGTCCCAATGTATTCTTGGAGTATCCACTGTTCCCCAACCCCAGTCCCCACCTCCCACCCTTTCAGCTATCCTCTACAACACTAAAAGCAATAATAGTGGGTACAATTTATTAAGGGTATACGATGTGACAGGAACTATTTTAGGTATAGGTATATCTCACTTAGTTCTCCCTATAGCACAGAAATGTAGGTATTACTTCTTTTATAGACAAGGAAACAGGTTCAAGGGAGTTAAATAAGTTGCTCAAGGTCACCCATTCATTCAGATATTTACTGACTGTTTCATGTGTCCACAGAGCAGCTGGCAAATGTCAAGGCTGAGATCTGAACTCAGATCTGCCTAACTCTGTGCCTCCCCACTGCCCCCATGTGGCTTTTTAATTTCCTACAAACTTGCGTGCATATCGTGGCAAGTCCTGGGCCCTGAGGGGTGCAGATTTAGTAGGTCTAAGGTAAGGCCTTGGAATCTTCATATGTAACACTCTGATGAAGGTGGTCGGTGGACCACACTTTGAGAAGCCCTGGTCTGCTTGACACAGGAGAATATGGGGCCAGTTCATATTGATGTTAAGGGCACCATCAGTCCAACAGAAATGGGGGCCATGGAGAGCTCCATGTGGTTAGATGTCGGTCAGCCTGGAGCCAATGGAACCAGAAGAATGACCAGGAAAAAGACCCCTCAGCCTCCAGTCAGATAAGGCATCGCCAACTCCACCCCAGTCACAATGCACCATTCTCCAGGTATGATGATAAACTGTGAATTGCTAAGTTTCTTGGGAAGGAGGCCCAGAAGACCATATGGCTGAACCTAGGACTCCAAAAGGCCAAGACTCAGGGACTGGGAAGTCCAGAGAATGGCAGTGTCACATCCTGAGTGGGAGTGATGCTGTAGGTTGTGTTGCTGTAGTGCTCTCTGGCTGCCGTGTTTGGTGCAAATAAACTTGTGATGCATCTATCTTTGCCACCTTCACTGCTTATCATTCTGCAAAACCTGGCATGGGCTCCCTCTCTCCTCTAAACACTACTCTCCTGCTCCCACCTCCAATTTGGGGCATACCTCCATCAAGGCTGCGAGACATGGTGTACCGTTTGCTGGAGGAACGCTCAAAGAAGGGTGCAGGCCGGTCGATGAGGGCACTGGCCTGGCGGGTCTGTGCCTGTGTCCTCCCGCTATAGCGAAACTTGGAGCCCATTACCAGGAAGCCCTTAGGTGGGGGCTCAGGGGACACCAGCCTGTATTGGAGAGATGGAGGTGAGGACGGGGGGATCAGACTTGCATTGTTAGGCCCAAGTCTAGACTACGCTGGCCTTTCATCCTATTGCCCCACCAACTATGATAATTCGAAGTGGCCCAGATGAGACCAGAAGAACTAGATGGTACCTGGCTACCACTACTGACCATTCTAATCAGGACCACAATAGACTGACCCTGATAAAAATGGGAGAAAAATGTGGGACAAAACCTCAAATTTCTAAAAAAGTAAAATAAAAAGACAGACCTACTGGACTGGTTGAGACTGGAAGACCGCATCCCCCAAGACTATTGTGCTGAGATACTCTTTAAACTTTGAACTGAAACTAAACCCTGAGGTCACCTTATAACTAAATAACAAACTGGCTCAAAAAATAATGAATATCACCTGTAAGTCCTGTGATCATTTTAAAAAATCACCTATATGAGACCAAATGGTCAACAATTACTTTAAAACAAAGATTAGAATGTAAGGGGACAGAGAAACTAGATTAGTGGAAACAGGACAACCAGAATGGAAATAATGAGAATGTTCACACATTGTAAAGAACATAGCTAATGTTACTGAACAACTTGTGTAGAAATTGTTGAATGGGAACCTCAACTGCTATGTGAACCTTCACTGAAAACACAATAAAATATTATTATTAAAAAAAAAAAAACCCCAAAGTGGCCCAGGAGAGGAGAAACTTGGGGAGGAGAGATGGGGGACTTTGCCTATAGTCCCCACTAGCTCCTCATACTGTCCTTCCCCTTACAAAACACAAACACAGTGTAGGGGCATGCATGTGCGCACACACATGCATCCAAACACACAGCCTCTGTCTGGCTCATCCCCCATTACCCCATCCTCAGGTCAGTCTTACCGGAAGAAAGTGTGATGCTCAATGCAGACCTTCCACAGTCTCTTAGCTGACCGGTGGTTTGGGAGCTTAAAGCCTATTGTGCTCTCAAACTGTTCATACTAGAAAACAAGAAGGGTGGGTCAGAAGCAGGGCGTGGGCCCACTCTCTCCATTCTTTCTGAACCTCTTCTCAGGCATGTATGACTTAGGTTTGTTCATTCATTGATTCATTCCTTTAATGAACAAAGTTATTGAGCCCTTATTCTATGACAGGCCCAGTGCTAAGCACTAGAGACACTGTGGTGACCAAGACAGAACATTTGGCTGGGGAAGGGGGTCCTCAGATAATAAATATGTAAACAAGATAATTTCAGATCCTGATAAGGGTTATGAAGGGAATGAACAGGGTGATGTGACAGAGAGGAACCGGGCAGAAGCAGGGCTAGGGTACTATTTTAGAAAGGGTGATCAGAGAATGCCCTCTGAACAGGTGATCTTTGAGCTGAGATCTGAAGGATGGAGAAGGAACCAGCTATGTGAGAACACAGGAAGAGAATTTCAAGGAGGGGCAACAGCAAGTACAAAGGACTTGAGTGGGAAAGAGCTTGGCTTATTCAAGGATCTCAAAGAGGCCAGAGTGGCTGGAGTGTAACGGGTGTGGGGAGTATGGCAAGAGATATGTGGGAGAGGTAGATGGCTACAGAAGGGGTTTGGACTTTAGCCCAAGAGCTACAGAGAGTGCATGTAAGATTTAATCAAGAAGTGATGATGGGAGTGTTATCACATGATCTGATTTAAGGGACTTTTAAGATCTCTTTGGCAGCTATGAGGGAAATGGCCTGGAGCAACAATGGAGGCAGGGAGACCAGAGAGAAGGATATTGTAGAGATGTAGGTGAGAGACGGTGGCTATTGGTGGCTGGTGTAGTAGGGAGGGGAGAAGCAGATGAGTTCACATTTATTCTAGAGGTAGAACCAAATGGACTTCTTGATGGGTGAGATGTGGAGATTGAAAGAAAAAAGGTGTTTGTATATGTGTGTGTCTTTGTGTGTATGGTAATGTGTCTGTGTAGCCTTAATACATATGGTTACCTTTATATTTATGTTCTTGTATGTGTGTACATGTGTGTTTGTGTGTGTGTTCGCATGCACATACCTAAGGTGTGAAGTGTATGCAGAGTCACAACAGAAGAGGGATTTTTCCCTATCCAGAACACCAGCACCCTCTCTCCATGTATCCTGAGTAGGGGAAAGCTCAGGCTCAGTCACCAGGGTTCACTCTAATCCAGCCAACTTCAGAGAGGAGGGGTCCTCAAAGCAGGCTCACCTCCCCAGGCCGGATCTTGATATAGAAGTTACTCCTCTTGTAGGAGATCTTGAGAATCTTGGGCCAGGCAAAACGGTTGATTCTCAGCCGGTCTCGGTAGATGAGCAGGCCATTGGCACAGACGCCTAACATGATGTCAATGCCCTCAGAGTCCTGCATGAGAAGGGACTATGGAATGAGAGGCCCAGGGTCCCAGCCTGCCACCCACCCTCAAAGTCCCTTCCTGAGCTCTGTTGGCAATAAGCCGTCAGGAGCAGAGTTAGAGCGGCCCGTGTTGGAGTCCCACTGACCAATCTCTCTGATCAATCCCTCACCTATTCATTCATTCATTCATTCATTCATTCAGTTATATATTCACATACTCACTTGTGCTAACATTTACTCTGTCAATCATTCATTCATTCATTTATCCAACACACATTTAGTGGTACAGTGCCAGGCCACGTGCTAGGTGCTAAACCCATTGCCGTCGAGTCAATTCCAACTCACAGCAACCCTATAGAACAGAGTAGAACTGCCCCATAGGGTTTCCAAGGCTGTAATCTTTACAGGAGCAGACTGCCACATCTATTTCCCACAGAGCAGCTGATGGGTTCGAACCACCAACCTCTTAGTTAGCAGCCGAGTGCTTACCTACTGTGCCACCAGGGCTCCTTGTACTAGGTGCTAGGGATATAGAAATAAATTAAGGCCAATGTTTATTTCCCTCATGTTGCTCCCGATCTAGTGATGGCATAAACAGGTTCATAAATAAATATAAGAGAAAATGATAACGATCATGTGAAAATAAGGGGTTATGGAATCTTCCTTTTAGGAATGAGAAATGAGGATAGAAAAGGCTTCAAGTTGGAGGTAACACAGAGTCTGGCACACCAAGCCTCCTGAAAAGATCCGATAGTTCATCAGGGGCACCACCCAGATCCTGGGGAAACCCTGGGACCCTCAAGCACCTGAGCCAGCTCCTGGCCCAGCCACCAGCGGTACCTTGGCATGGTGCAGGTCTACCCCGTACATGGAAAGCTTCTTGGCGTTCTCTAGGAAGTGAATTTCAGCTTCTCCTGGCGTCATGCCCCTGAAGGAAAGAAAATGATCACAGATGGATGTGGGAAAGGCCCAGACCCGCTGGCTGATGGTGACCACAAGCAGAAACTGTGATTCTAGGAAGGCAAACGTTCTGGAGCAGGCATGTGGCTGGGTCTCCTCCATCCCTCCCCTCTGCCCTCAGTGCAGGATAGTGCATCTCCAGCGCCCTCCTTCAGTCCATCCCACCCCCGTCTTCTGCCAAAGCTTAGGCTCAGGCTTGTTTTCTCCAGGAAGCATTCAAGGGCTAGCTGGGAGTCAGTATTCTTGCCTCATTCTGCCTCTGAGTTAAGTGTGAGCCATGAATTCTGCTTCTCCATGACTGTGAAACCATTGTTGAAGACATTGTTCATTATAATCACCCAGCTGCTGCTAAATAATTACTCATATAAGATCTTTCCTCTCAGAATTTAGCATTAGAAACCACTCAATCTTGCTGAGGAACAGGTCATGTTCTCTTTTGACTTATGTAATTAATCAAGTCCTTTCTCAACTTTAGCTACCAGGAAACTTGGAGTAAATTTTATACATAGTTACAGCAAACATTTATTGAGTACTATGTGCTGTGTTCTAAGCACTTGACATGTATTAACTCACTGAAATCTCGTAACAACCCTATGAGTTAGGTAATATTATTATTATTCCCATTTTATAGATACAAACTATGGCAGAGACGTTGAATAACTTGCCCATGGGCACACAGCTATTAAGTAGCAGAGCCAGGATTTGAATCCAGACAATGTGGCTCCACAGTTTGTGCTCTTAAGCATTTTGTTGTATCTATCTCTTATATTCTCTGGGCTTCAGTTTCCTCTGCCCTGCTGATCTCATTGAGCTGTTGTGTGGGACACCTAGACAAAGATGCCAATGTGCTGTATGTCAAAAAAGCTATACAAATCAAAGGGATGGCCATTAGCATTTCTCCAGCCCATACTGATCAAAACTTCCTCTGAATTATTTTGACTGTTGCAAATCCCTAATACATCTTGCTATCTAGGACAGGGATGACAAATAGATGGCAGATAGGCCACTACCCCTATTCCTAGGCCCAGGGGGACATTGCTAACCAGCTATACAGTCTCAGTATCCTACTCAACACAATACGATAGCAGCCACTACTAACCAATCAGAGTTGGCATGCAAGTCCATCATACTCTGGAGGTTTTCTGCCCCACGCACATGAGCCCCCAACATTTGGCCCTGGTCCTCTCTCCAGATGCAGCCTGCAGGGCACCGCTCTCTTCATTCCCTTCATCCTCAACAGCAGTGACATATCACCATATTCCTTCCCATATGCAGAGTACTTAACAGTTTAGAATGCACTTTCACACCATTTATCACATTGAATTCCCATAACAACCCTGGGCTTAGCACCTAAAGCACTTTCAGCTTAAAAGAACCCTAGAGATCATTTAGTTCCAGGGGTTCCCCTCAGGGGGTGGTGTCACCTTCACAGCAGGCATTTGGAAATGTGTGCGTGTGTGTGTGTGTGTGTGTGTGTGTGTGTGTGTGTGTGGGGGTGGGTTTCACTGTTACAATGACAGAGGGGGTGTTATGAGCATCTAATGCCTGGGGTCCAGGGATGCTAAGCATCCTGCATTATGAAGAACTCTTCTGTCCCATAAACCAACAGTTTAAAAACACTGATAATCTAAGGCCATACATATAAAGGTAAAAATGTGGCTCAGAAGGGTTAAGTAAGGAGCCCACAATCACACATGTAGCTAATTATCTCCTAACTCCTGAAACAAGGTTCTTTCCACTATATAATCAACTATTCAACCCCTCAATTCACAGACTGCAAAAATAATAGCTAACATGGTGTGCCTTTAATACGTGCCATGTCATCTTCCTGACAACCCTAGGAAGTAGGTTTCATTAGTACCCACGCTGTATAGAAGAAGAAATTAAAGCATCCCCATTGGTGTCAAGTTGATTCCGACTCATAGCTAACCTATAGGACAGAGTAGAACTGCCCCATAGTGTTTCACAGGCTATAATCTTTATGGAAGCAGACTGCCACATCTTGCTCCTGCAGAGCCACTGGGTGGGTCTGAACCACTGACCTTTTGGTTAATAGCAGAGTGCTTAACCCTATGCCACCACGGCTCCTAAATTAAAACACAGGGAAGTGAAATGACCTGCCTGAGGTCCCCTGTTAGTAAGTGACAGAGACAGAATTTGAACCCAGGCAGTCCAGCTTTAGAGTCCAAATTCTTCAACTTTATGCCAAGATGTAGACATCAGAATATTTACCCAAAGATACAGAATAGTTATTATCTCCAGTTGGCAGATAAAGTGATTCTTAGAGTCCAAGGACAGGGAATTATCATACCCATATAGGAGCTAAAGAAATTGAGGCCCAAAGGGGTCATTTAAGGTCACACAGTAGGTTACTTCATTCCTATTTGACAGAGACTTGACTGACAGCCGAAAAGGAAAACAACTGAACGTTTGGTGGTTTGTGATGTTGCTGTAGGTTTAGTGGAAAAGCTGAGAAAGTTTCGTTTTCACAAAGAAACAAACAATGCTGCCATTATAGTGAAGACTGACAAAGATAAACCCCTGGAGCTTGAGGGCATTTCAGTGGATGAACTTAAAGATGAACTACCTGAATGACAACCTCACTTCACTGTATATAGTCATAAATATCAACATGATAATGAAGTTTCACATGCTTTGTGCTTTATTTTCTCCAGTCCTATTGCATGTAAGCCTGAACAACAGACGACGTATGATGGGAGTAAGAATAAACCCGTCCAAACAGCTGAACTAACCAAGGTATTTGAAATAAGAAATACTGAAGACCTAACTGAAGAATGGTTACATAACAGAGACTCAGTGAAAGGAGGTGATTTGCTCTCAGACACACATCAAGTTAAGCCAGGTGGGGTTCCTACAGCACATCTAGAGGCCTACAACCTTCAGGGCTGCAAGGAAGGTTCTAACCAACCAGCCGAGGAGCCCTGGGGTGAGGCCCTCTCACCTGTATGTCTTGTGCAGCTCCATGATCCTCTCCTCCAGCTCCCGGGTCTGGTTAGGGGCAAAGCGGAGCTCACTGACATAGTTGCCCACGTGCTCCTCGGCATCGTAGTCACCCAGCTCTGCCTGCACAGCGTAGGAGCCCAGTAGGGCATGTGTGACAAAGGAGCAGGGCAGCCGGCCTGTGATGATGTCTGCCCGCAGCTGCAGGCACAGGTAGTATCTGGAGATAGGGGAGAGTGAGCATGGGATGGGGCCCCACTCCCTCCCTAGATCCCCCACAAGCATGGCTGCCCATCAACCCATGAGAACCAAACTGGTCAACACACAGCTCAGTAGAAAAGGAATGTTCCTAGCTACAGGCATTTCATGTGTTGATCATTTGGGTGTGTCCTATGAAATGGTTTTGTAATATTTCACATGACTTTAAGCGTTTTTGTTCAATTTTTAGTCTGCATGATTTTTCCAACTTTGGAAGCATTTTGAACTTCCAACTCATTTTCAGCTGAACGGGACTACTTCGCTGGTTCGACCATTTTTTAAAAATTTCACGTATTTTAAATTACACAATTAGTATAGTTTCACTGCAGAAAAATTGCAAACTTTAGAGATGACTCTAAATTTCTTTTTGATGTCCATTCTTATTCCTAATCCCCTCCCCAGAGGTCACCAATGTTACTAGGACAGTGTCCTAGACCTTCCTTCCTCTATAGACATACAGAGATGTATATAGTTTTGATTTCAGGGTGTTTTTTAAAACGTAAATGGAATTAAATGCTACATCTGAGTCTACAGCTTGCTTTTTCACACCCACTACAAGCCTTACAGCTGTTCTATGTCAGCACATGTGGCTCTGCCTCATTCCTTTAACTTCCATACTGTGTTCCACAGCCTGGGTGGACCCGTTTGCCAACGCATTCCCGAGACTTTTTTTATTTTGCCTCCAGCTTCTAAGTGAATTGTCTAAAAACAAATTGGCTTGAAAGAAACATTTCCAGCCACCAGGTCATGATTTTTTTCACTTTTGTACACACTTGGATGATTTTACAATTTTTAGAACCATTTAAAGCAATTTTTATTGCTTTTTTGGTTATTTTGTATTAAAAAAATATTTCAGTTCACTTTCAGCCAGTTATGCTTCCCTGCTCATTCTGCTGTGTTTCACCATTTTTTTCAAGTGCCTATTTCTTTTCCTTTTAAGTGGCTTTTACTTAGCATAATTTTTACTGCTCCATGACATTACTTGCAGTCAGAATTGAAGCTATTGCAAAAAGTGTGTGCAGCCTCAGTGTGCGCTCAGGGATAAGGCATAGGTTCAGAATCAGCAACAGTGGCTTAAATATCACAGACACGAAGGTGTGGGCTTACGGGCATTTTGCTTAAAAGTCTAAAAATTCAGAAATCACTGTCAAACACTCTGACAATCAATTTGTCATCTGGACAAATTTATTTTTGCCCTATTTTTAACTAAATCAGCTGCTACTACTGCCCCATCCCCATAGGGCCGTCCATGTTGGGCAGGGCTAACTTCCCTCCTAGTGTCCCTGAAAGCCAGGTGCCCAGGGATTGGCACAAAGAGAGGCACCAGTGGACAAGGCTAGAGCTGCTGGTGCAGCTGCCCAGAGATTGAGGGATGGCGGCTGTGCAGGTCTAAAGCTCTCAGTCCTCTTGGGAGTGGACTTCAGATCCTGCTGCTGCCATCTCGGCCCCAAGCTGATGACCTTAGGGCTTACAGCAGGACTAATGAGGACAAGGCCTTGGGCCTGATCTGTCCCAGGGACATCTGTCTTATCTCCCAGGGCATCTTGACCTCGGCCTGTTGCCTGGCAAAGAGCAGCTGACAGAAAGGAGGGACCTGGTGGGAGATGGAGGCTGGCTTAGTAGCCCCACCCCTGCTGCAGAAATAACCCCAAGCCCGCCAATCTTATGGTCGGAGGACGGTAAGGCCCACCATACAGATGACATAGCCCCAGGATACCATGAAGTAAGACTACCTCTTTGGAAAAGACTTAGATAAAGAGAAGGGCCTCATGCTGTTCTGGTATTCAGAGGCAGGATGAGCCCCGTGGAAGCTTCTGTCCTGAAGGATGTTTCTGTCCCTCCCCAGAGCGAATGAAGCCTCTTCGCAGCCACTTTGCACCCTCTTCCGATCTCTCTGGCCTTCTAATATATGGCCTTGAAGTACAATGAGACTGCACACACAATCTACGTTCACCCCAGCAGCCCGAGTGTGCCTTGGGAGGTCACAAGCCTCATCTGCCCTCCGCATGCCTGACGTGCACAAAGCAGCATGCAGGACCACATGCCCATGTGCAAAGGCACTTACACTCCACTCCCTCCTTTCTCCAAGGCTGTAAACTGGTGGTCTACCCAGCACATCCACCTTCAGATTGTTTGGTTTGTCCCACCCAGAGATACCTGACACAATGTCTTTTAAAAGTTTGAATTAGTTGCCAACATTTTAAAACTGTGGTTTTCACTCCCAAATTTCTAGCTTCTCCTCAGTGATGGCTCCTGATTCTCTCATGGCAGTGATTGCCCAGAGCTGAAAAGCAGCTATTCTAGATGGGGTATGCTCCCTGTGATATGTCCTCCTCTGAAGTCAAAGGTCAGCTGTCACTGACCACTGTGTTTACATTGCCTGCTTTCTTTGTTGATGCTGCCTGCCTGGTCTCAGTAACCATCTGAGTTTGCCACTGTTGTCATATACGGCTCCAGGTCTCCCAGGGCCAGTTGTCCTCATCCATGGTCACACACAGCCAGCATGCCTGCCCCCTCCCCACACAGCCCTCACCTCGTGATGTCTTCTGTCAGCTGGGCAGGGTCAGGAGGGTAGAACTTGACTGTGAAGGCAAAATTCCATGGGCTGCCTGTGAGGAGAGGACAGGGAGAGATCAGACAGGCCCCATTACCCCAGTGGGTGGCCCAGACGTACCATCCTATGAACAATTTTTCAAAGTCTTTTATCTATAATCTCAGGACAATCCATCAGGGAAGCTAGGCTAGAACATTATCGCCACTTATCAGATGAGAAGACTGAGCTCCAGGTTGAGACTTGTGAGCTAGCAGTGAAAAGGAAGGTAGAAAGAAAATTGATGCTGTATGCCAGGCACACTGTTAATTACAAACATCACTTCCCTAAACCTTGGTGAGTTTAGTTCAAGATTATCCCCATTTTGCAGATTAGGACACTAAGGCCCAAACAGTAAAGTGGCAAACCCAAGGTCACCCAGCTATGAAGTGGTAATGCTGGGGTTCAAGGCTAGGCCACCTGGCTCCAGAGCCCCAGTTCCTTCCTCTACATAAACGTCTAAACCATAGCATGTTAATGGGGAGAAAAGAAGTCTGTAAAGTGTCACATTAAATAGGCTTTGGACTTTTCAGAGCCCAGACTATGCTACTGTGCACTGGAATTCTTTAAACAAGACATGGTGTTCAAGAGTTTCCATAGTCATTTGACCTGTTATATACTTTTTCACAGAGCATCCTGCCAGACCAGTGTTCCTCAGAACACACTTTGACAAACACTGTCTTATACTACGTCAACTCCATGTCAGATGGCAGAACTGGATTACAAAAGAGATCTAAAAGGCAGAAAGGATGGACCAAAAGTAACACAGGGACACTTTACAGAGATAAATGTTAATTTACAGGTGAAAAATCAATGGTACCCTTATAGGAAGGTATAGATAAGAATAAAGGCTAAAGTTTTAGCTGGAAACAACCTCTGCAAGCCAAGAGAAGGGAACGACTGCTTAAGAGAGAGGAGAGAGAAGAGAGGGGAGAGGGGAAAGAGGGGAGGGAAAGTCAAAAGAGGGGAAGGCTAAGTAGAGGAGGAGAGGGAGAGGAGGGGAGGGGAAAGGAGAGCAGAGGACAGAGAAGGAATTAGAGACAGAGAGAGGGAGAGAGAGAAAGGGAGACAGAAGGCGTGAGCCTTGGGAAAAATTAATGTAAATCTACAATCCAAAGCAAGGAAGGCCCCTGCCCACCTCCCCTGTGGTCAGACCACTCCTAGAGCCCTGGGACATTTTGGGTTCCATGCTCTAAAAAGGTCCCTGACAAAGGGAGGCCAAATCCAGGGCATAACTGTGGTCATGAAAGGTCTGGAGGCCACGTTGTCACCACCATCCTTGTCCCTGTGGTCATCACTGTCATCATCATATAGCTGTCATGTATTGACTATTTACTAAGTGCCGGTCACTTTGCTAACAACTTTATAAGCATTTACAGGAATTTAATCTTCATAATCATCCTGAGGTAGACTTTCCTTTTTGTAGATGAGGATTCTGAGAGGTGACTCAATCTCCCAGGGTCACTGAGCTGGTTAGTGGTAGAGAACAGGGACCTTGGTCATCTGACCTCAGAGCCCAGGCTTGTGGCCACAACTGCCAAGGAAAAAGCAGCCTCAAGGGAAAACAGTCCCTGTCTCAGGAATAATAATAGCAAGTACATACTTAATGCTGCTGTATACAGGCACTATTTATTACATGTTTTATATGTCATACATTTTACACATAATAACTCATCTAATCCTCACAACAACTGTAAAGGTAAGAACCATCATTACCCCATTACACTGATGAGGAAGCTGAAGCACGTAACAGTTAAATAACACAAGAAGTAGTGGCAGAGCCAGGAATCAAACCCAGGCAGTCGGGCCCCAGTCTGTCCTTTTAACCACCCTACCACACTGCCTCGGTGAAGCGAGGAGAAGAAAACATCTACTGAGCACCTTCTATGTGTTGGGGGCTGTCCATATACACGTCATTTAACTGTTACACCCATCTCGTGAGGGAGGAATACCTAATCTACTTGATAAGGAGGAGCAGGGGGCAAGAGAGGTGGAGGACTTGCCCCCGGTGCCCTAGGTGATGGGTGTCGGGGTTCAGGAGTAAGTATACCCAAATCTGAAGTCCAGAACACAAAGATGCGTGGTGCCACCTTCAAAAGACTGAAGGAATATCATAAGGAAAAGAAAGGTGGCAAAAAAAATAGCTCCACTGGGACTCCAGAAGGCAGAACTAGGATGAATGGGTGGAAGTTAAAGAGGTGGTGATAGAGACTGCAGCTCTACTGAAGGAGGCACTTTCTGAAGATCAGGGCTGCTCCTCAATGACTTGGGGCAGCCCACAAGGAGGAAGCATTCACAAAGCCTGAGTTGTGCTGACACGGGCTGTGGAGAAAGAGGGATAGACTTGCTGTCCTGGGGAGGGATGATGAGTTCTTACGATTCTGCCCAGCTGCTTCTCTTTTTCCAAGCCCCTGGTCCTTATCAAACACTGCACACTCGGCTGCCTGTTTGTGTTCCAATTCTTTCAGGCATGAGAGGCAGGCCTCCCAGCTGGTCTGGGGCTTCTGGGGGGACAGCCTGGAGCCCAGGCCTAGGATCCTGTCAACCCCAGAGGAGTGTGCTCTGTTTGTGTGCCTGCCTCTTTGACGCCAATTGACAGGAATGTACAGAAAGAATTCCTTGAGCCCCCTCCCACAGAGTCAGCTGGCAACCCTGGGCCCAGCTGCCTGCTGTCATGGCAACAGGCTCAGCTACAGCTTTCCAGCCAGGGCACCAGGCAGTCCAGAGGAGACCAACCAGATCAAGGGAAGGGCCTACGGTGAAGGCATTTCTGTCTCTAGGTCTCTACCTACTCCACATTCCCTTTCTGAGGCCACCTACTTCCACCTTCTGCCATTTGAACACTGCCTCATCCCTCCCAACATGCCTCTTTTCTCTGGGCCAGAAAGGACAGGTTGTAGGCCTGCTTATCTGTCTTCATCCCAGGCCTCGAAAAGAGCACAGGGTGATGCTGGGAGGCCAGTGCTCATGGCCTGACTCTGCCAGTATTTCACTCTGTGACACTGGGCGAGTAACTGCCTCTCTCTGGGCCTCAGTTACCCCATCTCTAAAGACAAGAGTCGGCCAAGATCAGTGATGGGAACAGCTTTCACCTGACATTTCAACGCCTGTCAGTTGGCAGTAGCCTAGAGTGCTGTGTGGACAAGGATTCTGAAGCTAAATTCTGTAAAAAGTCATTGAACACTGAAGGCTGCACGAGCCCTGGTCGGGAGAGTGGCTGTGTTCAGCCTACCTTTTTGTCCCCTTGTCCTAGATACCCCTGCAGGTCCCTTCTAGGGCTGACATCCTGGATGAGTTTATGATTTCTCTGCTAATTTGCCATGTGACTGTGGACAGTCATTTTTCTTCTCTGGGCCTCTGACTCAAGATCTATAAAACAATGGTAAACAGCAATTCCTGCCCTGCCATCCCCAAGATCTGACATGCAGAACAAAATGAACTTATGGATCTGAATATACTTTCCAAAGTAGAAGGGAGCATTACAGTTAGGGCCCTCATAGGCCTGGAGCCCCAGCTCCCTACCACCACATCTCCAACCACAGTAAGCCACTCACTCCGGATCTGCTTCTTGATTTCCTTGGAGGGGTCCAGCCAGTTCTGAAAGAGAAGACAGAGTTCTTTAGAGGGAAGTTGGAGAAGAGGGCCCAGCCGGGGCTAGAAGAAACACCCTGAAATGGGCCTATCGACAGCTCTTAGTGGGGAACTGAGCTGAGCTTTCTGGCCTTTTTTCCTTGGGACTGAGAGGTGAGGGGAATGAGATCTGGATTCACCACAGGGCTTGGGACCCAGAGTCCTGGGGCTGGCATTGCCCTAAGGCAGCCAAGGTGAAGAGATCATGCAGCCACAGTGAGACTGGTGGAAAGGAGGACACTCGGGCAAGAGCTTCCCAAAGGCGGGGAAGAGGCACTTGGGGTGGAAGCTCCTCAGTTGCCCCAGGCAACTCAAGCAGCCATGCCACGGCTCTCCAAATACCCATCTGGGGGTGACTTATGGGTCACCAAGAAAGGAAGTAACAGCCATGGGGAGTAGACAGGGGAAGGAGACAGAGAACTGGAAGATGTATAAGGCTGGTTGAACTTTGAGGACATGCAAACAGGTGCCTAATGAATATCTGAGGACTGACGGAAGCCATGGGATGTGACCAAGGCTATGGGGTCTACAGGAGGAGGCCTAACCCCCACAGCAGGCCTTCCCTGCCCAGCCCTGCTCCCTAGCCCAGGTACCTTCTGGCTGTCGGCATCACAGAAAGTCAGGCCAAAGTAGTCTTTCTCCAGGAGGTTGAGGTGCTCACAGACCAGGTCAAACAGCACCTGGCCCCGGCCATGTTTCTGAAGAGAAAAGAGCTGCTGTGAGGCAGAACACACCTTAGGGTGGGCCAGGGAGATAACCCAGGCTCTACCATGACAACTCAAGAAAACCTCCAAGAGTCTTTCAGGGTCTAGAGAGGACCTTAGCATTTCTGCCACACTCCCCCACCCAGCTCTGTATTCCAAGTCCAAAGAGATTCTGGGGAGTGACACTAATATCCAGCTCATTGACTCTGCTGGGGTCCTTCTAGACCTTAGACTTGGTTGGGAGGAAGCTGGGATGGGGGTATGGGAAGTGACTGATTCTCCTTTCATTATAGAAATTATAGGAGGCTAACTTAGAACCAAGGAGCAGAAAACCAAGGTCCTAACCTTTGGGTGTGAGGAAGAAAAGCCTTCCCTGAAATATGAGAGAAGTGGGTAGGGGGAGAAAGGGAAGGACTGGGACTCAGAGTCAAAATATGACTCTCTTTTCCCCAGCCATTTCCCTTACACTAAGTCTGACTGAAATTAAGGCTGGCCCAGCCTAGAGTGCCACCCCCTATCTGGGCAGGTACCGTATTTTTCCGCAAATAATGCACCCACGTAAATAACGCACCCACACATATAACGCAGTAGCATGGCTAGGAAAATAATGTGCAACGGGGTTCTAAGGTTGGCAAAAACGTATAATGCACACACTATTTGCACAAAAATATGGTAGTGGGGCTTTTAAAGAGGCTTAGGGGGCCGAAATCAGCCTCAACTGGATACATCACTGTTAGAGAGCTAACTTCTCCTCTGACCCCACCCCTAATCAGGCTTTGTACCTCTCTGAACCACCATCTAGTCCTGAGGATTCAGAATTACAAAATCCAGAACCTGTCTGGGTATTCCAAACTCATAGGTATAAAGATGAGTACCAATAAAGGGATAACAGGGCAGGGGGAATGTGAGGGAGACACTACTCAAAAAAGGTGGGGGACTCCAAAGAGAGAGTTAGGTCCTTGTGAGGTCTGTCTAGGTTACCAGGGCCTGGGACCAGCCTGACTGTGGAGAGTAGCTTTGGAAAGTTAAAGAATTCCTGAGCTTGGAGGAGTCCATAAGAGAGAGTGGACCTGGCCCCAGCCAAACCCTCTACCCTCTTCTAGGCCAGGCTGAAACAGTATCTTGGGGCTGGTGTGGGTAGGAAGAAAAAGGTAAGAAGGAATTCCTTTCTTTTGCCCCAGGAGCATAGTAGGCAAGGTATTCACTCTGGAACACTTCTATAGAAGAAACAAATAAACAAAAAAACCCAACCAAACCAAACCAAACAAACAAACAAAATCAACAACAGAGAAGCAGGACTCAACCTCCCAAGGTTCAGAAGGAAGTCATATCCCTTCAAAACAGAGTGCAGGGGAGAAAGGGAAGTGGTTCCTGTAAATCTCAGTAGTGAGACCACCTCTGAACTCTTCCATACACACGGAGAAGGGCCAGGCTGGGGTGAAATCGCTAAGGGAATAAGGGCTCACAGAGGGGACAAGTGAGGGTTCAGAATTAGGGTGTGAGTCTGAGTCTATACAGGAAAGGAAGACACTAAATATGGGGAGAGAAGGCCCACCCCAGAGAGGAGGCACCTCCCCTGGTACCCACAGTGGGAAAGGGCCATGCCGCTGGGGTTTCTACTCAGCCTGGGTGAGAACGTCCTCCCACTGGGCTGCCTCCCTACACCTGGATAACACGTTTATTACGGAACCCGTCAGGTGACTCATCTGGCCTAGAGACTAGAGGTGGTGCCCTGGATGGCTTATGGGGTTCACAAGAAAGGGAGGACCTCTCTTTCCATTCAATAAATAAATGATTCTAGTTTAAACATCAGTCTCTGCTGGGTGAGATAGAAAAGCCCAGTTCCTAAGCCTGAGCTTGCTCACTGGGCTATAAATAGTGCTTAGATGGTGGCATCCTTGCCAAGGTACAGCTACCCTGAGAAACCTTTCCCTAGCACCAGCCCTGTGCCTTGTCTAATTTTATTTACAATTATAACAGCCCTCTCTTGGCCTCAGTGCTGCCATCTGTACAAAGGAGGACCAGCCAGGTCATCTCTACGGGGTTCTTGCAGTCAGTCCAGGACTTCATGAAGAATGGATGCCCTCTAGGCTTGGCTAGGCTGAGTGCACATAGATGCCTGCCCTGGCCCTCTGAGGCCAGCCAGCTAGGCGCTGAGTGCTGCCCTACCTCCACCTCACACTCATACTCGGAGGCATCAAGCAGAGTGACCCGGCAGATGGCACTCTTGTATTTCTTGGCAATTTTCTGGGGTGATTTCTGAGCCTTGCTGGGTGTGGTCCTCTCTGACAGGCCATCGGCCTCACCGTAGTCCTTCTCTTCCATGTCTAGGCTCTGTAGATTCAACCAAGAGAAGAGTTTGGTCAGTGAGCTTGCAACTATGGTTTTTCATACATACTAGAAGCAATAAGAAGGCAGCTGGGGCTGAGATGGGCCCTAAAACGAGAAGCACTGGCTTACCCTCCAGGACTCACAGGACAACCAGGGTCTATGAGTGGTATATGTAGGAGAGCCAGAGCATCATGTGCAATGGGGTTAACTTATGTGAGGGGTCCACTTCTTCACAGCAGGTTAATGTGGAGCATCCCACAAAATCAAACCGGCCCAGTGGCCGGAGCTATCCTGTCTCCCTAGGACAGTGAGTGAGTTATCAGAGCATCCATCTTGTATCCTTCTCTGGTCTGTCATTGGGTCTAGCATGAGGCTGGGAGTTTGTGGACTGATCCAATGAAGGGGAGGGAGTCCAGAACCCTGCCCACTAGTCCTAACTCTGCCACTGACTCCCTCAATCACTTTGGCCAAGTCCCTGCCCCTCTCTAGGCCTGCCGTGAATTAAGGGAGGTGGCTAGTAGGTGATTCTTCAAGTCCCTTATAACTTTAGGGTCATGAATTTTGCTCTGGGGTTACACTGGGTTTGCCAAGCCAGAATGGATAGGCTTAAGGGGTAGGAATATATAATTGAAGGAATACAGATTTTAGAAATCAGATCTAGATTTGACCCACACCTCTGTCACTTTATGGCAATGTGACTATGGGTAACCCATTTCACCCCACTGGGCCTCAGTTTCCCCAAGTGTAAAATGGGAAAATTAATAGTTACCCTCTTAGGTTTGGGAGAATTAAATATAAAAAAGAACACAATGACCCCAGCACAGTGCTCACCACATAACAACCCGCTAATAAATCTTAGTTTCCTTCGTTCCTCCCTCTTGAGAAAACACTGGGGCACTAAGAACTGGCCCTGGCTGGGCAGGAAGAGGGATGCCCCATGCTGAGTACGCTCTGACTGGGGCAACCATGGTGCTCTTGGCCACACACCTGTTCAGCAGGCCGAGTTTCCTGCTGGGGCGGCTGCTTCTCATTGGAGTTGGCCTCTGGGTGGCCGTGGCCTGTGGGAGTCACAGGGGTAGTCACAGCAGAGGCGGCCTCAGGCTGCTGCGGGGCTTCCTCCTGAGCCTTCTTCACCTCAGAATCGGGGCCTGTCTCTGTTGTCATGGTGACCAGCACGCCTGCATTGGCATGAAGGAGAGCACGTGACAGCGGAGAGGGACAGCGATGGTGTGACAGAGTGAGAGGGGCAGGAACCACACATGGAGAGAGACAGATGGAGACAAATGGACAAAGAGCCACAGAGAGAAGAAGAGAGGGAGGAACAGAGGAAGTGGGGATGAGGAGAGAGTCATGAGAAGTGAAGGGTTAGTGGTGGTAGTGAGGTCACAGGCCCCCCTCCCACCTGGTGTCCACAGTTCCTCAGGGATCCTACCCGTGGAATCTAGGCCCTTCCTAAGGATAATGAAAGTCTCTCCAGGGAGCCCCTCTCCCCCAGGAGCACAAGGGGCAGCCCGTGACCACCTCCAGGCAGGACCCTCAGCCAGGCTGTCTTTATGACCATAGCACTTGGCACACAGCAGCCCCTCAGTAAACACTGGGTGAACTGAACTCAACCAAAGAGCCCTGGGTTCCAGGCCCTTTTGGCATTGAACTTAGGGAAGCCTCTTCATGCTCCAAACGTCAATAACTGCAGCCCCGCTGACTTCACAAGGATGGTGTAAGAAAGGAACCAAAGAGAGAACGATGGGAAGGCACTTTTTAAAATGCACAGCCCTGATGATATAAAAGTTAGGGTTCTAGAACTGGGCTCAGGCTCTGGGTCTGCCACAAATGGGGCAGTCACTTCACCTCTCTGGAACTTATCTGAAAAGTGAGGGACTTAGAGAAACTATCTCTGGGATAGGCTTTTCTTATCATTTTCCCCTTGGAGAAGGAGATGAGCAGATTTCAGAGAGAAGCAAGGACCCAATGTCCAGTTATTCTGTTGGAATAAGCAAGTTGCAGAGACAGAAAGGGAAAGAGAGAGAAAAGCATGGTCCCATTTTTATATTTAAAGAACAAAACAATAACCTCAACAACATATCTTTGTGTTTGTACACAAGCAGTAAAAGATCTGAAAGGATACTCACCAAACTGTTAACAGAGGTTAAAAACACAGAAGTGGATAAAGGAAAAAGAGAAAGTTCTGTAGGGACAGGGGAGGATAAGAGAGGGAACTTCGTTTTTTACTTTATACACTTCGGAATTATTTGTATTTTTTAAAAATAAAGATATATTTTTTAACCCACTATTTAAAAAAAAAAAAGAGAGGCAAAGGCACCCATTTCTGACCCCAATCAGTGCATCCTCAGAAAAGAGTTTGGAGCTGAAACCAGGGGAACAGAGAGATAAGCAGGGAACCCTCACCGCTAAGACTAGACTCTCCTCTGAATCCATCATATTAAATGAGAACAATCCAGACTAGACCCAGGCAGGTCCCCTTTCCCTGCCTCTATCCACCATGGAAGGCCTTTAATGAGTAGACATACAGATACATCCTGGGCTACCCACATGCTCCAGGTCGCCTGCCCCACACTTCCTTTTATTCTTCAGTTTCTCTCCCTGGATCCCAGAGGGCACCAGCCCAGCCCATAGGAAAGGGCAGTGTGGGTAGAAAGTCAGGGGCCCTGAGCACCTCCTTCAACCACATGGGAGGTCTAGGACCCTGGACAAGTCAAGAGTATCCCCACGGAGTAGATATCGAGTGCAGGGCTTTGTAAACAGAAGCTGAGAGTACAAATGAGAGGGTTTGTTGTCACTGATGCTGCTCAGAAGAAGTCAGATCAGGAAGGAAAGGCCTTGGTCCACATTGTCTTATCTCCATTCAGGAATGTTTTCCACTCATGTTAATCACCCTGGACTTTACAGGTATAACTTAAAGCCATAGTTAAATAAAGGCTCTCCATCACTTCTGTGACAGTAAGTGCTGACTATGCCAAAACACAAAGCAACAAGAGCTGCTCAAGGGGAGCTCAGTTAGCATCAAATTGAGACTTGTCTGCCTGGCTCAGGATCTTTTCTAAGCCTGCACTTGAGGATTCATCAGCCATTATGCCAGATGAGGCCTATAGGCAAGAACCCTTAAAATAGATGCCTACTTAATTTTGCTTTAAAAAAAAAAACAAAAACAGGGGGTTGGGGGGTAGGGATCCACAGACTAATCAGTATGTTTTCTGCTGTGAGAAGCAGAATCCACAGGATCCACGTGGGCCCAGGCAGTCTGGAGGCTCAGGGCCCAGCACAGGGGCCTGGCACGTCAACTCCTCCCCTCTGCCTCAAATGGCCTTGGTCTGCTTTTAGCCCATGTTCTCTGAATGTTTCCCGGGCCTCAATCTTCCTGGACGTAACCAGGAGAGCAATCTTAAACATCCAACTCCTCCCCTGCCCAGGTCTCCAGCAGAGCCTACTGGCAGCGAATGTCTCATGCTTCCAGAACCACAGCTGCAAGTCTTTTGAGATCATGAAATCTACTCCTTTTCTTTCACAGGTGAGACCCAGAGAGCAAAAGAGACTTGAGTGATAGTCATTTCCTCAGATAGGTCTTCCCTGGTTCCTCCCACCCCTGCCCCAGCCTGCCTAGCCTCCTGACTCCTCAGATCCTAACTCCAGGTCCCTTATTCTTCCCACTGCACGTTGCTGCCTCAAGCAAACCCCAACAGAATCCCCACAAAGGAGAAAGTACTCAGACCAGGCTAAGAGCCAAGGGGTGGCATGAGCCACCACAGAACTCCATGACCAGGGGCTGGTTAAATAAATGATGGTTCATCTACTCTCTAGAGTAGAAAAACGGTGATGTAAAAAATAATGTCATGGAAAATATTTGAGTGAAAAAAGCATAATACCAAACAGTTTGTTTAGACTGACACTATTCTGATCAATAGCACAAAATATACTACACAGATACAGAAAATTCAACAAAGGATTAACCATGGTTATTTCTGGGTGGCAGGAGAACAAGTTATTATTTTTTCTTTTTTCTGTTTAGCTGTAGTTCTGGATTTTTCTACTAGACTTGGAGATTCCTTGAATAATTTAAAAAAATTAAAGGTTAAAAATAATTTTGATGACTTAGGAAGAAAAATAACATTATTTTTTAAATTTATGATGAAATCCTTCTTTATTTCACAAGTTCAGAAAGTGGACCAAGAACTCGGTCTTGGCTCCTGGCACAGCCTGCCACGTAAGCAAGGTTCTGCCCAGGCCCCAGGTCACACGGCCTGGTGGAGCCCGCTGGGTGGCCCCACCACTGAGGAGACCGAGCGGGAAAGCAAGTGCTGGTCCGTGCAGTGCTCACTGCCAAGATGGGAGGAAGATTGTCACCCAGAAAACACTTAACACCCAGGCGGAATGTGATTTAGATTTGCCAGTGCATGTTTCAGCCTCTCAGAAGAGCTCGGAGACCTGGTGATCAGCGTGTCAGGGAGTCACCAAAGATGCCTATAGGGCAGGGAACGGAAAGTGAGGGCAGAGTTAGGTTTTTAAATAGGGGAGAATTTAGACAGGTGATGGCAGGGAGGGAATTTGGGCTGAGTCACCATGTGGGCAAACACCCAGAGATGAGAATAAGTGAGGCTGTGCAGGGGACAGTGAGGAGATCTTGCAATCCTGATACCGAAGAACGAGAAGGTGTAAAGTTAGGTGGGCTCCTAACAGCCTGGCAGGAGATGAGCTGGGGAGAGGTGAAGAGCTGAGGGTGGTGCAGGCAGTCCTACAGAGTCAGAACTGTTACTCTGCTGTTACTGAGCACCACTGCGGGCCAGGCCCAGGGACTTCACACACAGTCATCTCACGGGACCCTCACAGGGCAGCAGGCAGCAGGGCAGGGCCCCACTGCTCAGTAGTTAAGAGCACAGGCTTTGGAGTCAGGCAGACCTAGACCCAAAGTCCAGCTCCAACACTTACTCGCTCTGTGACCTTGGCAAGTCATTTCACTTCTCTGAGCCTGAGCTGCCTCTCCTCCCCCTCAGGGTGATGATGGAAATTCAGTAAATAACCTAGAGAGAACACTCAGAATGGTATGCACCCAATAAAATAACCCTGAGAAGTAGGCTGTATAATGATAGGCAGTAATGGGAAGCTGCACTGAGGAATGGCCTAAGAACCAGGAGTTCGTAAGTGCCTGGCCAGAACGGAAGGAGAAAGAGATGTTTGAAGAGACAGAGGCCAGCAGGGCCAGACTGACAAGCGATTAAAACAGGAAAAGGTCAGCCAGAGAAGTAAATGCTGGCAGTGCCCACGCCAGCCCTGTCTGGAGGAGAGGGACCCGAGAGATCCCGGATGCCCGTCTGATCTGGCCTGGGGCTGGCCCCAGTGGGCTGTCAGCATCTAATACTCTTCAACATTGCAGCCACAGTCTGGTTTCCCTGGCTCATCTTCTTGGGTCACTAAGCCGCTTTCACATGTGGTGGCTTTCTATCTGGGTGACCTGCAGGGAGAGGTGTCCTACTCTGGCTGCAACAATATCCACTCAGCCTCAGAGTTGTACCACTCATTAAAAATTAATCAACCGGCATCTGGTTTATACATCAGACTCTCTAACCAGGGTTAGCATGAGTCAGCATCTCTGAGTTCCAGTAACTCAGATTTGCTCCTTCTTCTCCATCCCCACAGCCACACCCAGGTTTAAGCCACTATCAACTTGTGCCTAAATGGCTGTCCCAGCTTTCTCCACAGTTTCCCTGTTGCCACGTGGGCCCTCCTAGAGTTTATTCTCCATAAAGCAGCCACAGGGATCTTTTCAAAACCTCAACTGGATGCCCACTTTAAAACCCTCCAACGGCTTCCCATCCAACTAAAATACAAACTCCTTATCAAAGCTCCAGGGCCCTTCATGATACGACTCCTGCTCTTCTCTCCAGCATCAGCCCCACCACTGCTCATCCCCTTCCCCCCAGCCCCACCATGTCTGTGGGCCTGTCACACTGGTTTTCTGTCTGTTCCTACCATGGGGCTTCTGTCCTTACGGTTACCTCTGTATGGACAGTGAGCTTATCCAGATCTCAATCTATACACCCTGTTATGGGTTGAATTGTATCCCCAAAAAATATATGTTAAAAGTCCCAACCCCTGTACCTGTTAATGTGACCTTGTTTGGGGAAAGGGTGTCTTTCTTTGAAGATATTATCAGTTCAGCCATACT